AATTTTTTTTTTTTTTCAATTTATTTTCTAGGTTTTTGTTCATAATTTTATTCACTGTCCAACTTCTGATCAAAAAGTTCTCTAGTTGTATAAGGGTTTTGTACCTCGCACGGAAACAAGCTATATTAAACTAATTACGGCATTAAATTTTCACTTCTCAAATTAATTTTGCACCTTTGTAGTTTCGGCCAGCGAAACACGCGGTGTCTCATAGCTGAGCATCCAAAGCTATCAAGATACTCTTTTGTCAAGGTCTTTGGTCCGAGCACTTCAAGTGGAAAGCTGACTTCGCCCTGCAAAGTAGGAAACAAAACAAACTTGCGAGACCTAAGTAAAGTGCTTGAAAAGACGCGGACAAAATGATGGAGCAACAGCAACAGCAACAGCAGCAGCAACAGCAGTCGCCCCATTTTCAATACCTGTGCGCAAAGCGAATGAAGCTGTAAATGCCGCAAAATGTAGCATACTTTTCAGCGCTCAAATTTATTTGAAGCACATTTGGGTCAGAATAGAACAGCGACGAGGCCACACGCCTTTAATCCCTTGCAAGTGCGCTCAAGCGGATTCCATTCGCCGTGCCACATACTAAAGCAGCTTAAACGAATTGCGCAACGAATATAAATATGAAAACTATGCTGAAACGCTAATTACAACAGTGCTAAGCGATCTAAAATTTCTATCGTGCTCTATCTCTTGCCCCAACAGAAAACTTAATTAAATTGCAATGGCTATTAAAGCCAGCCAGACAAGTTAAACTCAGTCAAGTTAAACTGAGACAAGTTGAAAGTGAATAAAAAAAAGAGAGAGAGTGAGAAAGAGAGTGAGAGAGAGAAAGAGAAAAACTCAACAAAAATGCTAAGAACACATGCATTATGCATGCGCTGGCACAGTTTTATGCAAATCCTCTTTCAGCTATTTACCACTTGAAATTTTGGCTTAAATATTTGATGCCATCCCTGCTGAGGCTTCGGACTCGAGCTGACGAAAGGCCGTCGACAGCTAGGGTTCATTGATAATCCGAAGTGAAATGCCGATTGAACTCTCAATGCTTTGAGGCCAAAATTCGATTTCTTGTTTAAGCTGCTCAGCTATTTCAAATCAAGCAATTGTCTCAATCGAAGCCAATTAAATTTGTTTAGTCATGCAGGAGTGCAAGCTTAACCAAATTATTGTTGTGCAGCAGCAACAATATAAATATGTATTTTCAAATAGTTTTACTATCCTAATCGATTCAGCAATTAAAATAAATTATTATATATACAAAATAAATTTGCAGACTTAACGTAAATATATAATAATATAACAATATTAAAAAATGTTTTGAAGAGATTTAACTTAAGAAATTTATGGTTGAGCATCTATATATATAAAAAATAATAAAATAAAATAATAGTAAATAAATTTAAAAAATGTGCAGAAAGCTTATTGAGTTCATAAGCCTAGGCAAACACATTGAGATTTGAATGATATATAAAAATAAGCCACAAAGAGGACTGAGAGCAATTGATCCTAATGCCAATGTGTTTTATATTGAGATAAACAGAGAAGATGTGAAAGAGCTGAAATAGAGATAGCTAAAATGAAATTATGAAAGCCAAAGGCAGAAATGGAGATTCAAGAAAACCAAAGCTAATATAAATACAGCAATAAAATACGAAATTAAATGAACTAGCTTCGAGGCAACTTCTGTAAAAGAACAAGTAAATCTTAAATAAAGAGAACTTAAACTAACTTAACTAATTCAAGACTAAGGTACAATTGAATGTGCTATAAAGCTCAGAAGGAGAGTGAGAGAGAGAGAGAGAGCGGGAGAGAGAGGGTAACATCTGCTTGTACACGAGCTAAAACTAATTAAAATAAAAACAAATATTCAGTCACATCCGCCTAGAAAACCCAACCCAGACAGCGTTTGCATATCAAATGCAGCATATTCCTCACACACACACACACCCAACCAACCAGCGTAAACCAACCACAGTAAACCACCTGCTATAGCAATTTCCTGTGGTATGCAAATAGCAAATTTAATTTTTCAATTGCCAAGGCAATAAAACTATTTGTAAACGTTGTTTGGCAAACAATTTACTCACCTCGCCGTCGTACAAATCGGAGGCATACAAGTGATCAAAGGGCAGGGCAGCCAATAAATCGACGGCAAACCAGCCACGGAAATAATTGATGGCAATCTGTTTCGAATTGGAGACGACCTCACCTTTGCGTGAGACAAAGGTTGTGCGAAAATTCAATAAAATATCTGCAATAGAAAAGAGCAATAAATGAAAGAAGACAGAGAAAAAAAAATAGAAAAAGGTTAAATGTGGTGTAAGACACAAGACGGAATGCTACAAAACTAAAAAGCAATATTTAGCCTTAAGCTAAATTCAATTCCCAGTCAAGAATACAAAAGGCAATTGATGGGAATCTAAGTATGGCTAACAGGTTGTGCACACAAGAGTCTACACACACACACACACACACACACACCTACTCGCAATGCCCAAATGGACATTAAATGGTCATCGTCATCATCATCATCATCGCTCACGCCAATATCATGATTATCTGCTTTGTTGTATAGTGGTACTCACCCACAATAAATAGCGCCTCAACAATCACATCGGAGACCATCGTCTGTCGATCCGCTTTGGCAAATGCGGCATTGTAGGGCACCATTAATGCCACATAGAAGGTCGCCACCAATATGACCCAATCCCATATGCCTTTGAATACGCCATAATGGGGTAAAATCAAGCGTGACTTCTTTATCGATTGCGTTTTGTATTCGGGAAATGGTGCCTCAGTTGAATGCATAAAGTTCTACAATAAATAAATCGCATCAAAAGTCAATTTCAATAAACGAAAAAAGCTAAAGTTTCACTTAAACTGAATATCGCTAAAAATAAAATAGAACTATAGTTGTTATTTCAATTAACGCTATATTCATTGCAAAAGTATTGAACTTTTATATTCATAAGCATCATAATTTATATAAATTTTAAAGTACAAATTTAATACAATTTTTACTGGCTTCCAATATAAATAAATTTGTACGAGAAAAGTATATATTTAATCATATTTTCCTTAAATTCTTTGAAAAATAGTTCTCTATTAATATTTTGATTTTCTAAATTTATTTAGAAATTCTTATGAATAAAAAATCTGTAAAATTTCAATGTAACTTAAAAAAAAGGTATTAAATAATTAATACACAAAATATTATAAGTTTTGGAAAATCAGTATTTGCAAAAAAAAAAAATTTAATAGTTACAAAAAGTAAAAATCAATAAAAGAACAATTATTATTTAAAATATTATGGCCCATTTTGTAATCAAATATGACTATAGTCATACAACATAAATATCTGATATAAAAATCTTTACAAGTTTAAAAAATTCAAAAACTAGTATACCATCAACAAAAAACAATTCCTTTTATAGTAAAACATAAAGTTATTTATTAAAAATTTAAACTAAAAAAAAAAAAAAAATTTAAAACTAGTTCAAGTATTACAAAAAAATATATATGTATATACAAAAATAGCACAGCTTAATATCCTCTAAATTCAATTTAAATAATACGCCACACGTTGAGTGTGTATGTTGAGCCATTACCTTCAACAGGAACCAAAGTGGATTAAAAACGATATACGTTTAATTGAATTTGGGTCGAAATGGCCCTGGCGCCGCTCTCGTGTTTGTATTAGGATAAGTGTGTATGTGTTTGCATTGGTATACGTGTGCTTGTATATGTGTGCATGCGCATTTGGTGGTAATTCAGTGGATTGGTTATCATACTCACATTGCCCAGCTTCAATTTGGTTTTGACACCGCCCTTCTCGGGCTTGTAGTGCCCAGATAGCTGATATAGAACCGCACGACTGCGACGTCTGCCCATATTACAGCCTGCAGGTACATCCAAATTATTGCCCTCGCTGGCTTCCGTATCGCCGCCATCCCCGGCGCCCGGTCCGCCCAGGCCGGGCAGGCCGCCCAGGCCCAAAATGCCGGCATTCGATCCGGCACGGAATCGAGCGCCCAGTAGTGCAGCTGTAAGGGCAAAAACTTACAGATTCGCAACGCAAAAAATTTCAAATTTTGGAAGCAGCAGCCGCAGACGACAGTCGCGATTTATTAATTTATTAATATATGTGAATTATTAAAAGTTGTTTGTTTTTTTTTTTTTTGGATTTTGGGTATTATTATTTGGGGTTGGTTTATTTGTTTTTATATGTCGGTTTAATTACAATGATGATGCCGGTTAGAGTAAGAAAAAAGAGCATAAAGAAAGAAAATATACAGATATTGTACAAATACAATTTGAATTAAATTTAGTTAATTAACAAATTTTAATTTTAATTTTTTTTTTTTAGTCAATTTGTTATACAAATTATTTAGCAAGAAGCTACAAAAGACTTACACACACACACACACGTACAGATAAACACACATAGACAAAAGTGGAGTCTCGAAGCGACACAAAGCACAAGCTGTAGTGTTTTTTATAATCGTAATTTTAGTTTATTTTTGTTTTAGTTACTTTCACATTTACCGTTATTGAAGTGCTTTGGAACAGTTTATTAGTCAAAATGCAATTTCATCTAATGCATGCAGCAATATTTATGTGATTTATACCTTAAGCAAATTTAAAATGGCAATGTTGGGTATATTAGTTGTAAGGAACATTCCATAAAGGATATGCAGATGCTTGATCAGAATAATGAACTGTGTTGTCCGTTCGTCCGCCTGTCCATCTGTCAGACTAATACTTCAAACTAAACGATTTTATATTTAAATTTACATATTTTATATTATGCATTTTGAGCTCGGCCAAAGGTCTGTGTATCTCTTCATTTATTATAAGATACTTTTTAGTTTTCCATAAAGTTGCATAAATTTTTATCATTTTTCGCAAAGTTTATGGTTTTAATTGTTTTCGGCCATGAAAATATTTATATTAAAAACGTTTCGCCATAAAAGTATTTCGCTTGCCATTGCAGCAGCTATAAAAAAAAGCATTTAATTAAAAGCGAAATGGAAAAATTTATTTGTTATTTCAATTTTAATTCATAAATGCATGCGAGAGTCAAGCAACTGCTTACCCATATCATATCAGACCAAGCCAAAAAGAAAATATATGAGTAGTTAAGTAAAACCATGGCACATGAGCTTAAAAACAATCAATCACAGCCTAGTCCAAGCTTCGTGCCAAATTCTGATGTCTGTGAATCTGCGGGCATGTAAACACGGCTGGTATGCCAACTGAGTGTCAAGAGATGGAAGGTGAGCGGAGCCTGGATAAAGGTAGACCCCAATCTCATATACACCAAGCACAATGGCTGCAACCTCAAACAGTCTCAAACGGTCTCATTAAATTTAACTCAATTTTGTTTTTTTCTTGCAACTCAAAGGCAGCGCGTGCTGCTATAAATTACAATTAGCTTGATTGTGAAAAATTTGACCCAACAAAAAAAAAAAAAAAAACAAGAAAAAAAAATTAAAACAAAAATGATACAGAAATGGGGTAAGCAACAAGAATCACAACAAATTCGGCATACTAATTATAAGGATTTCATTTTCGATATGCTAACAAAGTGTAAAAATGCTTCACGCTTGCTTCATTAAAAACGCTTTATTTTAAATAACAAAGGTGAAATGAATTTTTAAACACAATTGGATTACAATCTGACGGTATTTGAGCTGACAGAGAGAAATAGAGAGAGAGAGTATAGAGCACGAGAGACAAAAAATATATGAAAGTTTTCTAAAGCGTATAATAACATATACAAAATAAATCTGTAAGAAAAAAAAAAAAAAAAGATATGTGACCTAAAAATATAATTAAACAAGTAAGAAGGCTTTAATCGAGACTGCTTAACTAGGAGATACTCTGAGAGAGGCCAGTGACCTTGAGGTGTCAGTGAGCTTGGGGGGTAATAGAGTATCAAAATTACATAAATTCAATTATAAGTTACATAATTTTAAAATTAGGAAATTTTAAAAGTGCATAAAAAATTATCAAAAATTTTATATATA